CACAAACAAGCACTAAATCCCTGCGAGAACCGTGCCTGCCTAGCCTAGGCGTCACGCATGGAACCCCTACTTCCTGATCCAACGTCGCACAGTATCCGTGATGCGGTAGTCGCCGCGGCCAGCAAAAGCACTGCCGAGACCAATGTGCTTAACTACTTTGATGCTAGTGCTGCTTAGAGGGTTGTCACTGACTTAAATTGCCACTGCTGCACCAGTGTCATGCTGATGAGGATTCTCGCGTAGCAGTCCAGCTTCTGAATTAAATTACCGTCGTTGTTGTGCAAGTCATTCTAATAATGGTGACAAGCGTGGTAATGATAACGATTCCGTAGATGGATATACCAAATGTCATCCACACCAAAAAGGCTGCTTCTGAGACCGACGTGGCTTCAAAGGGCAAGTCTCCAACACTTGAATATTGCCGGCTGCCAGCCCCCAATTAGACCCAAAACAACGTAATGAGAATGAAGGGAGAGGAGCTGCAAATTGCATGATGGGCTACTACTCTTGTTGCTGCTGTTGGAAATATTGGGAACATGACGTTATCGCTGTGAACTGTACCACAGCTGCACTAGGACGATGATGAGTCAGTCTGATGTCATAGCCGGAGTTTCTTTGAAAATCTTGCAGCCACCCTAGCTCACAATATGAAATCCCGATGCTTCGTCTCTCCGCCTGGACCGGCACCAAACTCCGGGACCTGGCGATACATGGTTTAGGGCTTGCAGTCGGGACGGTGTGCTAAATTAGGGTATTCCTGAAGGCTTATCATAGGTGCTCAGATGCGCGGAGCGTGCGCGCATGTTTGGGCTGAGGACAGTCATGGCACGATACTGCCTAGCCGTCATTTCCTTATCGCACGCTGTATAATAATGTAATTATGCTGCATCTCCTTGGCAATCGCACGGCCCTGCCCGAAGCAGGCTTGCACATGCAGCCTTGATCAAGCAACTGGGCAAGCCTACTCCGATGTTCAGAGGAACTGTTCATCTTGTTGGCAGCATTACGCAACTGCGGCTGCTCCTACTACTCCGTATCGGACAAACCTTGACTCATTCTCACCGTACATGCATTATTGCTGGTTGGAGTCTTGGGAGCGTGCAGTCGCGGCTGTTTGGTAGATCCGTGAAAGACTCGTACTCTGAAGGTCTCATGCTCTTGGAGTCCACCCATTCCCGTCTGCCACCTGCGGCTCCTTTGCACAGATCTCTCACCTCGTGCAGAGTCATTTGGGGGCATTCTGCCTCCGAATTTGGTGAAAGGGTTTATGTTGGGGCTGGGGCCTCTACCACTCAAAACAACTGGTCCCCGGCATGGTTCTGCAAGCAAAGCTGTGCAAATCAAGCTGTTGGATCTGTACTGGAAAAGTATCGGTACACATTGTTAATCCTTCACTTCTTCAAGCCTGCGTAATTAACATTGCTGGAGGCACGCATGCCATCACATGTTCGGCTGTTCCGGTCACATGCGCTTCCATGAGAATGCTTTGTCGTCAACTCTCCCAACCTCATATCCTCGACGCAAACAAGATGCACACCGACCTCCTGAGTTGTTGTGGCTGCCGTTGCTTACATCTACGCTAGTCCGCTTGTCGTAGGCGTGGGAGGCGTAGGCGGAGGAGGAGGAGGAAGAGGAGAGTAGCAGTAGCCGTGGCAGCAGTAGCAGTAGTAGTAGCAGTAGTAGTATAGCGGGAATAGGAGGAGTAGGAGCAGGAGAAGCAACAACCGCAGCAGCAGCAGCCGTAGCAGCAGCAGTAGCCGTCTTCTTTTTGTCCGTGCTCTTGCGCTTGCGCTTCCTGGTGTTGTAAGGCTATGACGACTATGAGTACTGCTCGGGCAAAAGCGATGAATCCACATCGTGGATGTCTTCGATTAAGCTCAGGATGCTCGGACCGGTGCGAGTACAGCAGCGACGGTAGTATTGACGACCATAATGGCCTTTGCGACAACCGTAACAACAAACACACAGACGAAAACCATCAAAGAAAGACAGCAGTAGTCATACTAGTGACAACATATCGGGCATAATAAGACTGGTGGGCTAGCAGGCAATCATGACCCTCCGCACCCCCCCCCTCAAGAAAGACCGACGTTAAGGGCTAAGCAGAAACAAAAGCTGAGACCCGAGCAGCCGCGTTCTGAGGGCTTCGGAGAAAAGTTCAGGCGGCGAGGCCGGGAAGGTCCCGGCGTGACTGGTCAGAGCTTCTGTGTCTTTCTTTGGGTCTTTCCCGGGCCCAAACTCTAAACCCCGACACCCCAAAAATCGGTTTGAGGATTCGGAGAGCTGTTGACAGTGCATACTGTGATCTTGCTCAGTTATGATCATGAGAGTCATGAAGGTCATGAGGACTGGGGTCATGATTCAGGCTACTAGGATGTTTGCTATGTTGATCCTCACAGGAACCACTTACGCATGGCCGCCAGATAAATATTGCGAGCACTGTCACTGTCCTTCTGTCCCTTACCAGGTGCTTAGGAGCAAAGTCTGTGCCGGAAAGCATGGAGGAGCCAGCGCCACGGGCCTCCCTACACCCGCGCATGCCAGGCGCCAATCCGAATTAAGCTCGAGGGCGTGAACATCCCTGTCCAGCCTTCTGCACGCACAGCGCAGTCGGGTATCAGCCTTGGCATGACCATTCTGTTGGCTTTGCAGTGGTTGACTCCTGCGACTATGCGTTTTCGCATCTACAGCAAGATTTCTTGTAAAGACAGGTCGCGGCATGATCTTCCTGCCACGGTAAACCAGAGCAAAGACCCACCCGCCGACACCTTCTCCTGCTTGTGCATTCGATTTGCAACACCGTGATGACATGGGCATGTAGTGCACTGGTAATGCCTCCATGCGATGTTAGAAAAGCTGCCAGCTTGTCTGACTTAGATTTGTGCACTCGCAAGATCTGAATTAGCACGAGTTGCGGTGAAGATTTCGCTGCCGAAGGAGCGCCGCGGATTGGTGCAGGACCAGATTCTGCATGGGGCTGTAGCTTTACGACGCTGAGCTATGTCAGCTGTGCAGCACCCGGATTCCTGACTTGAAACAGGAAACAAGAAGGTAATATCTCTGCAGCGCCTGTCGCCTGCAGCGCAGCTCGCGCGGCACCGATGGCCGCGACGCTAGCAGGTGCTGCATTGAGCTCCTCCGAATGATTGCCATAATACAAGGCCTCATCTGGCTTGACGTCGCATCAAGCAATCAAGCCATTGTCCGTTGTATTTTGCTAGATAGCTGTGTACCTAGGACCAGCATGTAATCAAAGTGCAGCACAGTGAGACAATCCCATACATATGCGGGTACAAATGTATGTCTTACAGTGCCTGTATCTGTCTATACAGATATCCTATGCATTTATTTATGATACCTCGCCGTTTTGGCTCCCTGCCATCAGATCTGAGCCCTTTTCTCCTCTTCCACTGCCTCAGCACCCAAGGCCGCCGCTGCACCACGCAGGGCTCGGGCCGCAGCGGTGCGCAGCTGAGAGATGCAATCGGATGCAATTGTACATACATGCGAAGCCGGTGCAAGTGTTCGGCTGGCTGCTACCGGGTGGCGGTGCTTGTGCTTTTGTTCGTTGGTTAGCGCATGTTTGCTTTGCAAAATAAGTCTCAGGCTTTTGCTTCGGGTCGTCTTAGTGGAAGCCTTCTGTGAGGAGGCGCGACTGCGTTGGAAAGATGCCCGACGCTTACTGTGGCGCCACCATGAAGCAGTCTGCACAACCAGTAGTGTTTTTGTCTACAGAACCATGCTGCCATCCCGAAAAACGAAGAACTGGTCACATGAGTGGCAAAACAAGGTTTTGGCTGAACGCTGTGCAGACGAAGCTCAATCCAAATGGTATAGCTCTAACCCACTCACCCGCGGCAGTCTAATTCCAGAACATCATAAACCGCATGTCTTTCAACTGAACATTTCCATTCCAAACAATGCACAGAGGTCCTCGCTGACCCTAGACCCAGGACTGAAGACTCCTGGCTCTTATGCATTCCCCACCCGGATCTGACCGGAAACTGAAGCATCGATCTCCCAGCCCTCAGGAGCCTGCGAGCTTGAATGCAAGCAACACGGCGCGGCCACCGCCAACAGCTCCCCAAGCGCCTGGCAGCCAAAGCCAAAAGCCAACACTAACTCGAGCGCCGGCGCCCCGGTACGGCCTCTAACCTAAACAAAATCAAGCCTACCCCAATAAACGAACCCATGTTGGGGCGAATCAGCATGTCACCCGTGGAGTTGCACAGCAATCCTGCTTTGAATACTTTGAATCTGTACTGCAGGGAAGGGGAACAGGCTTGTGCAAAGATGAACGATTCGTTTCTGGGTCGTCCCTGCCTCACACACATTCCGAGCGTTGAACGACCAAATACCTTTCAAAAATCGAAGCCACCTGTCTCTTTTCCTGCTCTTTGTTTTAGGTCCCACTCAAGCAGACTGCAGCACAACACCGCCAGATTTGCAGCAAACTGACTGCATTAGGCGGCGCCGGTATTACAGACCTGAGCTGGGCAGAGCGTGTCCCAGGGAAAATCACGAGCCACCCATCCGATCCGCTTGGAAACTGTCTCGGCCTAAAGACAGTCGACGCACCCAAGCATCGTCAGCAGCAGCAGAACGACGACTAGCCGCTAGCCGAGCATCAAGCCAATATAAGAATCATCAGCATCGCTCGGCAAGCGTTGCAGGTTTCCCAGCATTTGCATGGCGCGCGCAAACACAGGAACAGTGGCTGGCCGGAGTCTTGCACATGATCCTCCCGCCACCCGCCGAGGACGTCAAAGCGGATGCCGCCCCCTGGCAAGTTCAGCGCCGTTTGCGACGGGGTCGATCGGGGTCGGTTTGGAAGATCCTGGCAAGCCGCCGGCTTGCGAGGGCTCTCCCGTGCCAGGAGGCTGCGGCTGCAACGGGAAATGCGAAAACTCCAGGTGAGGTACCTGCGGCACAACCGCACCGGGCATGAGCATCGTGAGCATCAGCTGGGAAACGTTCTCGTCCGCAGGACAATCAATAGATCAATAGCTCACACGCTCAGCAGGAAACAAACACACCAGCCCAAGCATCATCAGCATCAGCTGGCAAACGCCTCCAGCATACCGACACCTAACGTGAGCATCATGAGCGTCAGCTGGGAGACGTTCTCGTCCTGAGCACGTGCGGGCAGCTTGTGCATCAGTGAAAAAGCCACCTGACCGAGCGTCATCAGCATCACCTGTAAAACGTCTCCAGCACAACGACACCCGACATGAGCATCATGAGCATCAGCTGGCAAACGTTCTCGTCCTCTACCCCAGCATCATCAGCATCAGCTGGCAAACCTTCTCGTCCTCT